TTCTCATCTTGTGCTACTTTTATGTAAAATGAGGGATTTTGTAATCATATAGGCAGTTGTATCTACTCCTTCAATCTTCAGGCTGTATTGTTGTATTTATTGAATCTACATATGCTCACGTGGGTCTTGCTTCCCCCACCCCCCCAATTACCATATCCAGTAAAATAACATTTCTTTAGTATTTGTACTATGTTCACTCTTTGCCATTTGTCTCGAAAGATGACTTGATACAGATACTTGTCCACTAGAAAAGCATTCCTGAGTTTTTTCAGGCAGAATTAGTCCAGAGTATTTTAGGGCTTCTGACTGTCCCTGCGGTTTGAGATAGTTCTTATTGGGAAAGAACCCTTGCTTGGCTCCTCGTGGGTCACTGGAACAGTGATTGGTGCCTAGCTGGACTGTGTGCATGATCGTGACACTCACGCTCTGACAGCATATGCATGGGTCTTGCTTCCCCAACCCAGCATTCTGAAAATCTGTGCCTTTTAATTGGAATATTTATTATGTAATTATTGATATGATTAAATTTAATTCTTTCTTTTATGTTTTCTGTTTGCCTCATCTTTTTGTTGTTGTTCTCCTTCCTGATTTCTTTAGGACAAATTTTTTAGCATTCTGATTTAGCTGCCATTTATCTCTACTGCTTTGACTTTTCACTTTGCAGTTTTAGTAGTTACATTTTTAGTTTTTACAGTCTATGTAGAATTCATCTTGTGCTACTTTATGTAAAATGAGGGATTTCAGCTGGTCATGGTGGCGCACGCCTATAATCCTAGTGCTTGGGAGGCTGAGGCAGGAGGATCGCTGTGAGTTCAAGACCAGTCTGGGCTACACAGTGAGTTCCGGGTCAGTCTCTACTACATAGTGAGATCCTGTCTCAAAAAACAACAACAATCCCCCCAAAACAAACAAAACCCCAAGGGATTTCATAATCATACAGGTAGTTGTACCTACTCCATCCTTTATGCTGTTATATGTGTTGAAATTACATATGCTTAATCACCATATGACTTTAGTATTTTACTGGCACGTAAAATCTACAGTCATGTAGATTTTAGTATAAACAGATGTGTTTTAAAGAAAATAAGACGAGACAAGTCTTTTTTGGCTTGTGAAGATCTCTTCCATTTCTAGAGGTCTTCAAAGCCCATAGAAGACCCAACTTTCCATTTGGCATCATTTCTCTTCAGCTCAAGAAAACAGTTTTATAATAATGCAGGTCTGGCATCTTTTCCCATGGGCTTTAAAAAATCTTTATTGTGAAATCATAGCTTTTTTGTTTCTTCTTTTTGTGATGGCACCTGGGATTGAACCCAGGGCCTTTGCACTGAGCTCAATTTCAAGCTTTTTAAATTAAAAAACTTTTTGAGACATGACCTTGCTAAATCACTGATCTGCTTCCTGTCACCCAGGATTTGATTTTCTTAAAATTCCATGTAAATTAAATCACATAGTATATATTATTTTTTTCTGTCTTTAGAGTTTGAGTTTCATTCATATTGTTGCTTGATTAAAAGTTTATTTCTAAAAAAAAAGTTTATTTCTATTCCTTTTAATTGTACTACAGTATATGTTACCATTTGTTTTATCCATTCTGTTTCCTGTTCTTTTGTTTTTGATTGAGTATAGGCATTAAACTACCATGAACATTCTAGTATGACTTTTTTTGGTGGAATTTTTGGGTTATTCTTATCTCTTGGGTACTTTAGGAATTGTTACACCACATCATCTGTATGCTTAACGTTGTAGGAAATTGCCATACAGCTTTCAGAGTTGAGTCGTTTTTTTGTCTCATACAATTCTCACTGTATTAGTTTTATTGCCTCATACCCTTCTCTATGCTGGTACTCTCCATCTCCAACGTCCTGGTTGTTAAAGTTCGGTAACTCATTTATTCAGTTATTCGGGGGCCAGACAGAGTCTCACTATAGTTCAGACTAGTCTTGCATGCACTGTGTAGCCTCAGCTCTCCTCAAATTCACAGTGAACCTCCTGCCTCAGCCTATTGAGCACCAGGATTATAAGATGATAAAGTTTATTTGATTTTACTTCTCAAATACTTACTTTTTTATTATTTATATTTTCTAAGCAAATGTGTTGAACTGGTAAAATGAAAGTCCTTTACTTGATCTGGATATCAAAGAAATCATTGAACATTTTACTATCAAGTATGGTATTTTTTATAGATGCTTATTTACTAAATTTGAGAAATAATTCTCTCTTCCAATCTCTCCCTCCCTCCTTCCCATTTCTCCCCTCCCTCCCTCTTTCTTTGCACTGAGATTGATCCCAAGGCCTTTGCAAAGAGCTACATTCCCAGCCCTTTTTATTTTGGGACATGTATTGCAGTGTCACTAAAGTGCCCAGGCTAGGCTTGAACTTGTGATCCTCCTGCCTCAGCTTCCCAGAGTTGTGGGATTTTAGATGTGTGCCACCACACCTGGCTTCCAGGGCCATTTTAAACAAAGACTGTCTATTGAATTTCCTTTGTTCCTTTGTCCAAAATCAGTCTATGTGGATGTATATCTATTTAAGGCTTCACATTTTAAAAAAATTGCAAACATTTCAATTCACCTCTTGGAACTTTTGGTTCATGTCTTAATAATGACAGTTTGTTTTCCACAATCTCATGACTGCATCTAATAATATTAATGATACTTTTTCACATCATTGTATGCCTGGTTTCTGTTGAACTGCTCTCTGTAGTCCCCATTTTCATTCATTTTTGCAAGCTGAGCACAGTAGAGGTTATGTATGTTATTTGAGGGATGGTTCTCCCTACCCTCATCTCCTTTTTTTGGGTAATACTGGAAATTAGATTCAGAGCTTTTGCACTGAACTACATCCCCAGCCTTTTATTTATTTAAGTTTTAGGATGGGGTTTTGCTAAATCACTAAGTTGGCGAGGTGGGGCTTGAGCAGGCATCCTCCTGTCTCAGCCCCCTAAAGTGCTGGGATTACAGGCTTGTGCCATTATGCCTGGCTCGACTCATCTCCTAAGTACCTTTTATTTAAGGTACTCTCTCTCTTCTTAAAAATCCTCTTTATGAAATTGACTTGTAGACCAGTTGCTGACAACCCATTCCCAAATTCCCAAGTCACCTTTCACATTTTAAGAATCTAATCGTGGGTATGTGAGTAGAGGGGAGGGTGCACCTAGAGTCATGGAAAGAGATTCAAGCCTCTCTGGTTCAAGTCTCACACTGGCCTACATTCTTTGAACTCTTCTAGTGGTTTTTCTGCTTTGGATTTCTTGGACCTTGTCCTTTGACCTCAGGGTTGGATGGGTTCTTCTGGTTTTGTTATGTTGGGGTACTTTATTGCTCAGCATAGATGATCACGTGTGAGCACTCTGAGGAGTTTTTCTCTTAGTGGATTCCACACAAAGTCTTTTCACCCCACTGCTGGAAGATGAAAGCTTCATTCCTCAGCCAGAGGTGGGATCTGATTCTGCTGCTGGTCCAGCTTTGTGGGTTCTATTTATGAAACACTGGTTAAGAATGGGATGCACTAACTCTCTACAACCTGCCTTTCTTTCTTCCTCCATAGTCCTAAACCCTCTACTAAACTGGGAGGCAAGACAGTGTGAAAGGCCTTCCTCCCAAGTGCCTCTCTCATTTCTCTTTTCATTCCCCAGGTCTGCTTCTGCAACTTGGCTCTTCTCCAGGAAGAGCACCCAGGAAAGCAGCAATACAGCCCCTGCACTCCTGACAAGGCATGAAGTGAGTCTTGAATTTTTCTCATAGCTCTTACAGGAAAGACCCTTTGCCTTTTCTTTTCCTGGAGGTTGCACTGCCTCTTCCTGATCTCTGAGGTGTTCCATTCATGGCTAAGGCGTATACCATGTAGTAGCCTGCAATCCTCACATCCCAGGGTTATAAAATAGAAATACAGGACATCCATGCTTATGTACCCAGTGATTCCTAAAAAATTGTAGGAAGGCTTATGAAGAAAGGAGTGAGCTGCTCCCAAATGATGTCCAAGTTGAAGAATTAGGAAGAAGACATCAGGAACCCTAGCCCTCCTTAAAGACCAGGTGATTGAAAGCCATCCCTTATCATGTGGGAAGCTTGCAGTAGCCCATGGCAGTTGGACACATTAGTTTTCTGTAGAGGTGAAGTTGCTGACCTATTGTCCATATGTCCCTTTCTGTCCATAATGGATAGATTTGGTTTTAAAGGCCTCATTTTTATATATTTAAAGTGAGTTTTCTATACAGATGTTTCTTGACTTATGAAAGTTATATCCTGATAAACCCAATGCAGGTTAAAAATATTAGGAGTAGAAAATGCATTTCATATACTTGACTTAACAAACATCATATCAACATAGTACACTAGAATATCAGTTATTGGGCTGGGGATTTAGCTTAGTGGTTCCACTTCCTGCCACTCAGAAGCACAAGTTCTCAAGTTTGGTCCCTGGCACCACAATGAATGAATGAATGAATAAATAGAATAGAATAGAATAGAATATCAGTTATTAATCCTATGATCCTGTGGCTGGCTAGAAGCTGCAGTGTGTTGCTGCTGCTCAGTATTGTGAGAGTGCCATAAAACATATTGTATGCCCAGGAAAAGATAAAAACTCACAATCAAACTATGGCTTCTCTACTGAGTGAGTGTATATCACTTTGGCACTTGTAAAGCTAAAGAATTGTAAGTTGAACTATCATAAATTGGTGGCCACCTGTACTTAAAAATCAGATTATGCTTAAGGTCTGGATTGTGTACTTATTTGAAAGTAAATCACCCTACACTGACTAGGTAATGTGTCAACTTGATGTAACTGGATATCAAATTAACATTTAATTGACCAAATAGCTGCTAGGCTTGGCACTTTTATGTTCATTATATCAATTATACAGAATATTTATATCACTTTTGCTAACTGAGTTGCTTTGGCTGTACAATAAAAATGTCAAGTGTTGAATTTTTGGGGGAGAACATCTCAATATAATCATATGGTAGATATTTGCATATTTCTGGATAAATTGAAAATGATCACAGTATCACTAAGAGCTGTGTCTTCTTCATTCGTTAAATTGATACACTTTTGAGAGAAAATCTATGTGTCACATATGCAAATCAGGATATTTTCCAATAGTGGAATTCTTTCATGTATATGATTCATTTTACTATGTCTGTTTGAGAAGCATATTAGCCAAAAGTGGAACATTGGCTTACATTTCCTATCCCTGTTATCTACTTCCTGCGGGTCTGTAGCAGGCCCTGAACTTTACCCTGTCTTTGACTAACATCTCTTAATACACTTTTTTTCATTTTAGCTATTTCCTCATGAAAAAAGTTGATGAAATGGTACAGTGGTATGTTGGTTAATAAACTCAACTCTCTCCATGATTCTGGTCAAAAACTGAACTGGATCAGAACTGAATCAAATTTCTTCATGAGGTCAACACTGAACTTAACCACTGAATTTGATTTGGTTCTTGTCCAACTCAGTTTGTGACTAGAATCATGGAACCATATTTGTGAACTGAGGTACCACAACATAAGCACCTGAGGGACATAGCGTTTTTAGATGAAGCTTTAATACTTGGAAGAGTGGCACTCAAAAAATACTTATTGCATAAAGGAACTGTAATTTCTAATTATCTTGAAGGAGCTAGAGAACAAATGGATTTGTTTGTTCTGCTGTATGTTCTTTGAAGAATTCCATATTTTATGATTTTTAAATGGCATCTTCAAGTACTTTATTATGCACCATATCTGAAGTGTACAGAAAAATCTGACATACATATAGCATGACATGATATTTAGGCATCTCTTCTAAATGCTTTTGCTTGAGAGAAGTTGTAACATGCATTAGAGCTGTAACTGTCAAGGGAGGCAGACAGGTGTAGTATATAAACTAATACATCCTTTAAAATTGATTTGAATCTCAAAAATTTTTTTGAATGTATACTGTTTGCATCAGACATGAATGATCACAGACAATGATATAGCACAGGCCCTATCTTGTAATCTGAAGTTTATTTTGAGGCTCCATCATTGTAATTTAAAATTTAAAAATTGAGAGGAAGAAAGTGGAAGAAAGAGGAGATTAAAAAAAGATATATCATGTCCATGTACCAACTCTCCATGATGAATATAATTATGTACTACAAATATGTACTAATAAAAAATAAAAATGGTCAAGGATATGAAAAATAAGCTTTTAAAATTGAGATGCAATTCAAATGCCATAAAGTTCACCCTTTTAAAATGTACAATTCAGGGAATTTTAGTATATTAGCAAACTTGTTCAATCCTTTTGACTATAAGGTTTTCACCACTTCTCAAAGAAGCTCTGTATCCATTAGGAATTATTCCCCATTCTTCCCTCCCTTATCTCCTGGCAATACGTAATCTGCTTTGTATTCTGTGGGACTTAACTACTCTGGATATTTATATACATAGAATCATACAATTAAAAAATTGGCAGAAAAGGAAATTTAAGTCTTTGTCCTTTGCCCAAAGCAACTAATGAATTGGCAAAAAAAAAAAAAAAAGTCAGAGTTAATTTTGTAGAATTCTGGGCTCTAATAAAAACTGGAAGACTTGCTGCTGCTAGTTGCAAGAGAGTACTGTGGTATTTGAACTGCCTACTTACTATTAAATTGCCTGCCTTGGAACTATCCATAAAAGATACTCAACACAAAGACATCAGCTTTTTAAAATGAGCACAAAGAAGTAAGGGAATAAGTTAACAATGTTTCAACAAGTAGATAATATCAGTAAAGAAAAACTGTAAAAAAGGAATAATACAGAAATTCTAGAGCTGTAAAGCACAATAATTGAAGTGAAAAATTCCCTAGATAAATTCAACAGCATATTTTAACAGGTAGAGTAAAGTTTTTAAACTTGAAGATAGTCCCACCAAGAGTACTCATTTTGAAGAGCAGAAAGAGATGAGGGGGAAAAAAATCCCAAGATAGCCATGGATACTATTAGGTGTACTAATGTGCACATTATGAGAATTGCAGATAGAAAGAGAAAGGATAGATTTGAAGAAATAATGTCCAGAAAGCCCCCAAATTTGATGAAAGACATAGATTTACATACCCAAGAAGCTCATAGACTCTAAGCAGGATAAACATAAAAAAGATCCACACCAAGATTATTATATCCAAACTGTCAAAACCCAAAGGCAGAGTTTTTAAAAAGCAGTTCAGTGAGAAGTGTTTCATTTATTACCCATTAGAGAACCTCAATAAGATTAACAGTTGATTTCTCATCGGCAACTATGGAAGTTACCAGTTAATAGCATTTACTGTCCTCAGAGAGAAAGTTGTCAACTAGGAATTCTATACCTGGAATTCTATTCCTTTAAACCTGATGGTCCTGTCTGCTGTGGCAGGGTTGCCTGTTAGGGATTGCTGCTGGAGACAGTAGTTGCTTGTTGGACACTTACTGTTCTCTGCTTGCCTTGTGCTATGCTAGCCCAGAGAGATGTGCTTCATCTTTAGCAACAGGAATAAGTTCTAGACGTGGTGGCAGCTATGGCTGTGGCTGGTGGAAGCCAAGCAGGCATTGAGTTTGCCTATCACAGATAAAGAAATCCAAGAGATGAAATCCAACCTGGACAACACAGACCTCAAGATGGCTGCTGAAGACGAGAAAAAATTACCTCATGACATGATGACTCATGTGCATATATTTGGCCACCGCTGTCCAAAGGCTGCAGGCATCATCCATCTTTGTGCCACCTCCTGCTATGTTGGAGACAATACAGTAGGACCCTCTATGTTCATTAAAAAAGAAGAACTATCCTTCAAGGATGAAGAGAAATTAAGACATTTCTAGACAAACAAAAGCTGAGGGAGTGTGTTGATAGATCAGTCCTACAAAAAATGCTTCTGGCTGAGTGAAAAAGTGTAAACTCTAGAAGATAAGGAAAAGACCATTGTAAAGGTGACTTCATAGGTAAATATTAAAAACCAGTGTTACCATATTGTTTATTTGTTTTGTGACTTGTGCTCTTCCTATGTTTTTAGGCAAATGCACAGAAAATAATAACTTTGTGTTAATGGGCATATATCTAACAAATATTATAAACCCAAGAACTCTATGCCAGAACATAGTATAATGAAACTTCTGAATGCCAAAGTTGGAAAAAATACACCTTGAAAGCAGGCAGAGAAAACCAATTAGAATATTAGTCTGTTTCTCATCAGAAACTATGGAAGTTAGATGGTAGTGGCATAATGTTTTCAGTGCTGAAAGAAAGGAATTGTCAATCCAAGATGCTATACCAAATGAAAATATCCTTCAGGACCTGAAAACAGGACATTTTCAGATGAAAGAACTAAATAATTTGTCTCTAACACAGAGAACAATAAAAGATGAAAATCTGGAATATCTATGTGCAATACAGGGTTAACATAGCTGGTTTGAAAACTGCTGACATTGGAAAGTCCTGCTTGCAAAATTATCCCTTGGTTAGCATCAATCATACTATATTTCAGGAGGGTCCCAACCATTTTCAGAACTGGTAAGAATAACTCATTGTGCCTAGATGCTGTAAATAATGCAGTTCATGATGAATATATGCTTTCCTTCTCATATCTGGAATTTTGGTATGTGCTAGTCAGAGGGCACCTTTGTGACTAGCCTCTGCTAAAGACTTTGAGTACTGATTCTTTAATGAACTTCTTTGATAGGTAGCATTTGAACCATATTAAAAATCATTGCTGACTAAATTAGTGGGTTATACATCGGTC